AAAGAGGCAAACAGAGGGGCTGGGGGTATGTAAGAGATACATAAAACAAAAGTATAAAGGCAAAACAGATTTATAAATGCAAAAAGGGTGGGAAGACAAGGAGGCAAACAGAGGGGCTGGGGGGATATAAGACATACATAAAAGATTTGGGAGGAAGTAAGAGACACACAAAGGGGGGAGAGTATTAGACACACAAAGGGAAAAAGTGGTTAAAATACATTAAAGGGGGTAAAACATTTAAAAGAGGGGATGTGAAACACATAAAGGGTAAGAAATTCAAAAGGGGGTTAAGAGACACATAGGTCAAGATGCATTTTTTTTTGGGGGGGGGGGGGCAGGGGCAAAATGCATCTTCGCCTGTGTAGCCAAAAATCCTTGCACCAGTCCTGACCTCAACAATGACAGTGTTCTAAAGTACCCATCACTAGATTTCAGAATTTGTGGCTTTTTGTGAAGGTGAGGAAAATGTCTCCCTGTCCCATGTCCTGCATGCTAGACATAGCAATGGTTGAGAATGACTAGGGTGTGAATTTTTGTCTTAGTCCACTTTTCCTTATGCACCAATACTACATATGCCCTATTCTACAAATATAAGTAGTTCAGGTATCATTTACCACTCCTGGAACCATATCACAGATCTGAGCGACATCAATGTAACCTAGCAGCCAAGGAGAGTGGACTGGAATGCGCTTACATAAACAATGACGGCTTCACTGTACTAGTCAGTGGGAGGACTAGACACCAAGGCCAAGGACGCCATCAGGGCATGACACTTGTCGTGGGCACGGTAATCCTGAGGGGCTCGCGGAGTTCGGGCCCCACATTTGCTATGTGCACATGTATATAGCAAATTTCGCTATATATATGTGCACCTGTGTCTTGCGGGCCCCCGGCTCCTGTTCACTGCAGTGGGGGCCCGCAGCACACTCCATCTTCCCTTCCTAGCAGCTCCTCTGTGTCTAAGACTGTCTATGAGGCTGTGAAGTGTGCTGCGGGCCCCCACTGCAGTGAACAGCGCTTGGCCACTGGTCCACCAGGGAATGCGATCTCCCCCTCCCTGGCCAAGTAAGAAGCAGGGAGGGGGGAATAAAATGCTTAACAAGTGTGTAAAAGAACAAAAAAAAAAACTTCCCCCACTAATTGCAGCTCCTATTTTACATACACTTCATACAGGGCCAGATTAACATAGGGGCTGAAGGAGCTACTGCTCCAGGCCCAAGCCCATGGAATAAACCCATTGACTTAAAAAAAAAAAAAAAAAGATTGTTTTGTTTTTACCACACTACTTTTAGGGTTGTCAGGTATTTCTCATGTATTTCTTAGGGCTGCCAGGTATTTCTCAGAAGTATTTACCAGATATTTGAAGCTGCCTAGCTCTGCCCAGAGAGTCCAAACAGCAGCTCCCAGCTTGCAGAGACAGCCAGTAGCTCAGGTAAGTGAAAGATGGGGAGAAAGGCTGCAGGGAGACTTGGGGACACTGAGACACTAGGGGACACTGTGAAACATGGTGACACTGAGACACTAGGGAAAACTATGAGACATGGGGACGGTGAGAGACTTGGGGACACTGAGACATTGGGACACTGGGAAACACTATGGACACAGTGACCCCATGTCTCCCAGTGGCCCCTAGTCTCCAAGTGTCCCAATATCTCCCATCCAGTGTCCCTAGTGTCTCAGTGTGCCCATGTCTCCCAGTGTCCCTGGTGACTCTCAGTGCCCCTAGTGTCTGTGTCCCTAGTCTTCCAGAGTCCCCTAGTCTCTCAGTGTCCCCATGTATCTCAGTGTCCTCATGTCTCTCCCAATGTCCCCTAGTATCTCAGTGTCCCCATGTCTCATAGTGTCCCAATGTCTCTGAGTGTCCCCTAGTGTCCTAGTGACATGGGGACACTGGGAGACATAAGAATACAAAAACTAGTAGACACTGGGCAACGTGGGGACACTGAGACACTAGGGGGCACTGAGAGACATGGGGACACTGGGGGACACAGGGAGACATGGGGACGCTGGGCGACTTTGAGACCTGGGAGGCATGGGGCACTCCCAGTGTCCCCATGTCTCCCAGCCAGTGTCCCTAGTATCTCAGTTTTCCCATGTATCCCAGTGTCCCTGGTGTCTCTCAGTGTCCGTAGATACCAGTGTCCATAGTGTTTCACTGTTTCCTAGTCTCCCAAAGTCCCCTAGTCTCACAGTGTCTCAGTGTCCCAACGTCTCCCAGTGTCCCCATGTCCCCCAGTGTCTCAGTGTCCCCTAGTATCAAATAAAAAATCTCACTGTGATAGATTTAATCAGGTTTATTGGACATCGCAACATTTTGATCTGTACCCAGGTCTTTATCAAGTCTTCAGTGTCCCCTATGTATCACAGTGTCTCAGTGCCCCATGTCACCCAGTGTCCCTGGTGTCTCTCAGTGTCCTTAGTGTCTCAGTGTCCCCTAGTCTCCCAGAGTCCCCTAGTCTCCCAGGGCCCCCATGTCTCACAGTTCTACCAAGTGTCTCAGTGTCCCTAGTATAAAAGAAAAAAAATCTCAGGCACTCACTGTCATAGATTTAAGCAGGTTTATTAGACACTGCAATGTTTTGCCCTGTGCCGATGTCTTTATCAAGTCTCCAGTGTCCCCTGTATATCACCGTGTCCTCTTTGTATCACAGTGTCTCAGTGCCATATGTCTCCCAGTGTTCCCTCGTGTCTCAAAGTCACCCATGTCTCCCAATGTCCCCAAGTGTCTCAGTGTCCCAAGGTCTCCCAGTGTCCCAATGTCTCTCAATGTCACCTAGAGTCCTAGTGAAATGGGGACACTGGGAGACATGGGGACACAGACAATAAGGGACTGGGAGACATGGGGACACAGGCATGCCCCCTTTTTAGGTATGTTCGCCCCCTTTCGGCAGTTCTTGTTATGTGATTTGCGTCAGTGGTCCACCTTTTACCCCGTCCATAGACTTCCTGCTTTACTGGACACTGCTGTTAATGGGTATGGATTTACTTGAAAGATGAAAGCTTGAGATTAGCATAGGGTATGTGTTTTCTCATAGCTGCATCCTATGAGTTTCCCTCCAGCACCATCTCCATCAGATACATGACGCATGGGAGGTAGGACTGTTTTAGTGTTGTTGGTCGATAAGATTTTGGAATTAGGCCCATCATAATTGTCAGCACCAGGCCTACTGGGCTCTTAATCTGGCCCTGACTACATACCTACACAAATACACATTATGCATTCATTACACACACACACACACACACACACAATGCATTCATAATATACACACACGCACACTATGCAGTCACTACACACACTACCAGTGTGGAACTACCACGGTAACTCCAGGGGGCCTGGCTGCCCTGCGGACCCCTGCGACCAGGTGCCCGCCCCCATGTGTTGCCCCCACACTATCACCACTACACAAACACACACACACTGCATTCACTATGCACACACTACATCCACTACACACACACTGCATTCACTATACACAATCTCCACTACACAAACAAAATACTGCATTCACTATACACACACTACATCCACTACACAAGCACACACACTGCATTCACTATACACACTACCTTAGCTACACAAACACACACTCTGCATTCATTCTATACACACTGCATGCCTACACAAACACACACTGCATCCCTACACAAACACACACTGCATTCACTATACACACGGTACATCCCTACACAAACACAGACTCTGAATTCATTATACACAAACACACTGCATACCTGTGGGCAGACTCGGGGTGGGCCCAGGGGGCCTGGATCTTGAGCTGTGTCAGGGCCCCCCAAAATTTCTGATGGCAGCCCTGATTGAGGCTGTCGCCTTCAAAATGACTGAGTGAGAAGAGAAACAAATCTGCATAAAATTTTGCATTAAGCTTGAACGTTCCTCCATGGAAACTATTCAGATTCTGTAAAATGCTTTCGGGGACATGCAATGAGTGCAGAGCAAATAAAAGTGTGGTACAAACTCTTTAACGATGGTCAAGAATCTGTTAAAGGATTTGGCGCCCTGGGACTTCTTCCTTTTCCCAAAACTAAAATCACATTTGAAAGGAAAGAGATTTCAGGCCATCGATGAGATTCAGGTAAATACGACGAGGCAGCTGATGGTGATTTTTAAACAAAGGATTTTGCAGAGTGTTTTGACAGTGGTAGAGATGCTGGAAGAACTGTTAGAGTTCCCAAGGTGCCTACTTTAAAGGGGACTGAGGCGTCAGTGTCCTATGTACAATGTCTCTTCTATCTTGTTCGCTAAATGTCTCTATTTTTCATATTACAGTATATGACTAGATACTTTCTGGACAGGCCTCGTATGTGTTATAGACTTTATGTGTGTGTTATAGTCAGAAATTAAAACAAATATACAAGAAATATATTTTAAGGCTATTATTTAATAATGAACATAGTGCTCGTGTTTTTGTTATAATGTATAGAAAAATTCATTTTGAATTTAGATAAAAGTCAGTTTTCTAACTAAGTATGACTATTTACTATTTAAAATTCTTGATTCTATTATGTTGGTAGTTTTCCCAGGGCAACAGTGTCTTATTATGATGTATTTGTTCTATATTGAATATTATTATTATTATTAATAATTAATTATGTTTTATTATTTACAGAGTACCAATGTATTCCACAGAGTTGTACAAGGCTATACAAGATAGATAAACTAAACAATAAAATTTAACATTTAATAGATAAAATTAAAAAAGGTAGATATTTGTCCTCAAAAAATAGCCATTGTTTAGCATTAACTATGCTTTTCCCTTCCTACAATTCCAGGTTAGATCACGCTCATGAACTTTGGTAAATCCCTGGAGATTTTTGAAGGGTTCCATTAAGTCACTTCTATCCCCTTTCTACTCCAAGATATGGTGGCAACAAAAAGAATTCCTGGGTTCTCATCTCAGTGAAAGAAGCTTTTAAGACATACAAATGCGTAATAAAATTTGTATTTCAGAACATTTTTTTTTTCATTTTGTGTAAAGCTTTGAGTGAAACATATTTCTTTTAATTTTGCAGAATTAATCTATGAGATCATTTGTAGCTGGAATAACGTGCTCCTTCAATAGGTGTGCATTACGAAGAGGATCCCTCGAAAGGAAGCCATATTTAATCATGTTTGTTGAATTAAATATAAGCTCCAGTAACAAGACGTAGCCTTGAGACTGAGTGGAAGCACTGAGTTCATTTTTTGTAATAAAGAGTAATATGGAAACGTCAGCCTCCATTATACATTTTTAACTCAACAGGAAGATATAGCATAATGTAACAGCCTAATGGATAGAACTTGTCAGTCATACCTTATTGTCTCCTTTCCTTTTATTATTCTTCCACGATAAATTCTATGAAGATGTTAACCCACTTGACTGCCAGAGGGTTGGGTGATATTTTGAATAACAAGGGGCCAGGATGGATTTAGACATATATTTCTAACATCTTGCACTAACATGGTTAAAATGCTAATAATTTTGTATTTCTGATAAAGCGATGGCAGCATATCATAAGTCAATGCTGCCATGGCTTAATCAGGAAATAAAATGAAAGTTTGGAAACAATTTTCTATTTTCCTGATCGAGCCATGGCTGGATTGACTTAAGTAATGCTGCCATGGCTTAATAGGAAAAGAAAATTACGGAAAGTATGGAAACAATTTTCTTGTATTTTATGCTATTCCTATAATGCCAACATGTTATTTATTTATAAATCCTAAATTAACTTTTTCATGAATACCTATTTTTTTTATATCACTCCTATGTTCCAGATTCTGTTGAGAATTTTTATCATTGTCAGCAACATTCCCTAAACGTGAAATACGTTCAAAATCTATCCCAAAGCTATTGTTAACAATGTTGAAGCCAGGGCTGGATTTCATATTAGGCAGAGTAGTCACCTGCCTACAGGCACCTGTCAGCACTTATAATGTACCTTTTTCAGCTTAAAGGGACACTATAGTCACCAGAACAGCTATACCTTATTGTATTTGTTCTGGTGTGTATAATCATTACCTTCAGGCTTTTTGCAGTAAAACAATGTCTTTTCAAAGAAAATGCAGTGTTTACATTACAGCCTAGGGATACCTCCACTGGCCAATCATCAGATGGCTGCTAGAGGTGCTTCCTGGGACATGCTGCACAGTGTGCAGCACTGCCATTCAATGCCTCCACCCTCTGCATGGAGACACTAAACTTACCTCATAGAGATGCATTGATTCAATTCATCTCTATGAGGAGATGCTGATTAACCATGGCTGTGTTTGGCCTGTGCTGGCTCTGTCCCGATCTGCCTCCTTAACAGACTCAGCTAATCCAATGCTTTCCTCTGGGAAAGCATTGTGATTGGCTCAGAACACCGCTTCTGATGATGTTGGCCAAGCAGGCAAATCAGGGGCAGAACCAACAGCAGCAGATTGGATTAAAGGTAAGATTGTACTATAATTTAGGGGAGCAAGGCCAGTGATGTCTATAGTCCATTCAGCCTTAACATAAGAGCTGCTGGAACAGTTATAGAATGTGTAAATCTTAGTGCTCTCCCTGCTCCCCCAGTGTCTGTGTGTGAGACAATACAGGAAGTGGAAGGAATTACTTTCCGTCTGCCAACTAGTAGTAACCTTTTAAACAGGAAATTCAGGGGAAGCTCTAAGTGATACCCACTGTATAACCACTCCAACAGCTCTAATATCAATTGTGGGAGGTCGACTGGATTACAGAGGACATAGGAGGGTTAAAATCACCCTTCAAACTCCAGCACCCAAAGCCTAAACCTGAAACACTTTGTCTTATCCCTATGTTTAACACATCTTAACAACGAATCACCTCATGTACCCCAATACTAAATTTAACCCAACTCTAGTCCCAAACTGAATAATCCTAAACAGCTTTCATACTAAAACGTTAAACCATCTTAAGCCTTTAATCTTCATTAAAACCTATGTAATCTAACCCTCATTAATTAACAGGTGATGTAGTAACAATAATTTATATACTTCTATGTGCATAAAATAGACCTGTCATGGGTGGTGAGTTTAGATAAATAAAATAAAATAAATTAATTGGTGTTCTTTGCTGACTCTGAAAAGGGACCTGAACTTTCATTACATATTTAAATTAGAAATACAACAATACAATATTGTTCCCTGCGTGTATTTTTAAGTGTGACATTTTGTTGTTATATTCATATTTGTGTTTGTATTGGGAGTTTGGAATCAATTTCTTTTGATTTTTACTTTATTTTAGGTAATATCCTATTCACTATTGTTATCTTGCTTTCTGTTCTAGCTATCCATTAAGTAGAGGACAAGGAAAAGACAGATTTTACCCCTTTACCCCCCTAACACCCCCCCCAAAAAATTAATGAATCGAATCTGATAAACGTTCAAGGACATTTTTATTGTTATACCCATCCTTGACAGGTATACGTTAATACGTACGTTTGATAGGGGCCACTGAATGCAGCAAGTTCTCATTGCTTGTTGGATATGTCTTACAAAGTGACATATCTCCTTAGAGACCAGATGTGAAACACGCGTCACTAACTAAAGGTTATTGAAGACAGAGGTGGAAATCTTATTTATGTTCAAGCCTTCCTGGCAGGATTTATAACATCTAGAAAATCAGTGACAAATTATTGCATGCATGTAAAGCATCAGTTATCGTTCTGACTGCAGTGCGAGGTTTAAATGAAATGTAAATATATGGCAAATGCTCGAATCTGTGTTCTTTGGGGTAAGGATCACATTTTAAGTTTTAAAGGGTTGCAAATTAAAGATTTAAACAAAGATTTAAATGCAGTAGAAAATGGCCCACATGGTTAATAATAAAGAAATTTACATTACCGTGATATAACATATAGACAGTTCAATGTCATGCTTTCAAGAGCCATTTATACTTCATAGTGTTATGCTCAGTGTGACGAAGTGCCCTTCGCCACTTGGTACTGGACAGGCCTGCTTGCCAGCCTCCTCCCCTGTGACTATGACTCTTTGATGTATTTGCCTTTAAAGCCCCTATTCTACCTTCAGACAGACTATTTATGTAGGCTGCTTTATTTATCTTATGTTTTAGTCACCCTGTACCCATTATAGGTGCAGGGTGTGTGTAATGTAATTGTTTATAGTGTGTGTGTGTGTACTGTGTAATGTATTGCCTGCTCTCTTGTATTGCTGAGGTTTGCTACCAACTAGGTGGGTTTGGCTATGGAGCTTGTCTAGTGCCCTCTGTTGGTAGCAACAGCAATATGCACTACCTGAATTGCAAGACTGGTTCATTTGCATATTCGGGTAGATTTGCATATTGCTAATTCTGCAGGCAGGTGAGATATTTACTGTTAAATATTGTCTCCCCCCACCCCTTTAAAAATGTGCCATTGTGTTGTGATAAGTCACTGTGTGTTTCTTGATATGGTTTGACTGTTTGTGATTTTATTGAGGTTTCACAACAATGTTATTGTGGTGACTGTATTGGCTGGTCCCAAGGTAATAAAGGTTTTGACAGTTCTTCTTGATCCCTCTAAACGTAGCCTTGTCTCGTTATTGGAGGGAGCTGTTATAATCACACTGGGGATTGCTATGCTCTGCATGCTCCCCTGAGCTTGAGTCACTTAGCTCTTTTAAGAGCTTGTTCCTGACACGCTCTCCTTGGAGGAGGGGTCTTCACCACACAGTCCTGGAGGACAGAAGCTGATCCAGGGTGGAAGGCAGACGGCGAGACTCCAGTCAAGATACGGCAGTTGCGGAGTCTGCGGTGGTTGTGGTGTCTGCTGCAGTGCTTGGGAGTCCTCAGGAAGCGCTAGGAGCATCCATCAACGGAGGGTACTCAGTCGGAGTACAAGGAGCTCCGTTACACTCAGATGGCCAACGTTCGAGTGAAACATGGTGTGTAAAATCCCATTTCCTTTATTGCCTCGATTACTTAGTGGACAGCGAAAGAGGCTTACTATGTTTTACTCAAACTGCTTTTCAAAATATAACAGCCTGTGGACTCTCCTTCCTTTCACAGGCACAAAATGTACCAGCATGGGTCCAAACTGCTCAGTTAACGGTTGTGTCAGTTCTCAGTCCCCACGAAAACAAGTCCAAATTCTTCCAGTGAGCTGCAGGATTCCAATACTCTCAGAAAGAAGTGCAGCTACCTGTTATGCTAATATCTGTTCCAATTCAACTTGAGTGGACTAAATCAGAGCTTTGAGAACATCAAGGCTTGTTTCCATGCATGTTGTAATAATTTACAGGGTTATTCCCTTAAATTGAGAATTCAAAGAGAATTTAAGGTGAATTTCAAATTTCAGGCCAGAGTAGTTAAATGGAAAGCCTGGCTGAATTAGTTCATCTTTCCAGTTTGGCTATTTTGACCTTAAATTTAAAATTCACCTTGAATTCTCACGTTTGTGAATAACCTTATTAGTGACAAGTCAATCATCTCAAACATATAAGTTGATGATGTAAATCGAGCTGTACATAGAGCTTGTAAAACTATATATAAACTCTAAGTGGAGGTTGACATCAATGGGGAATGACACAAATAATGTGCAGAGGTTTAATTCTTGTAATGACTGTATATTTGAGCCACAACCATCTACTAAATTTTGGTATTTACCATGTATGACAGCTGCCTTTAATTGAGAAGCACAGAAACAAGCCCTCGCTGAATTGTGGATTCTCCAAACGGTGGCCCTATATGTTGTGGTCAAGATGTCTTGAGTTTTCATTATTTGCTGAGGCTTGGAAGTTATTAACTAATGCTGTAAAAATGTTGATGCATTAAATATCGGTAACACCGCGTGATGGTTAAGCTTAGGTTTCATTATCTCAGTATAATAATCAGCAATATTGTGTGGTGGTACAGTATTCCCCTGAACACAGCACTTGAACCCACTATCCACAGATGGAAAAAAAATATATAGATGTGCATTACCAGTCCTTAGAAAGGCCTGGCTTATTGCAACCGCAAATGTATATAGTGAGAGAGTAACTAGAGACACACCAAGGTCGAGGGACACCAGAGAATAGACAAGCGGGGTCAGGGATACTAAAGATCAGCAAACGCAAGAGTAAGTCACATCAAAAACTAGACAAAGACAAATCACTGAAAATGTGCCATTTTGGACCACTAAAGAACCACAACAGGGCGATTTGCTCCAGGGTAGAGTTGTTTATATAGTAGCTGTGCCCAGAACGTGTGTGGACATTGTTGCCAGGTTGTCCTGCATCCTCATTTTGACTGATAGCATGAAACCTATTTAAAGAAGCAGGTTAACAGCAACCAGCATCACAATTCCTTTAAAATGTAGCAGGTAAAAGGGCAAGTGGTTGTCCATGTCAATCCAGAATGACGTCATGGACAAATGCTGCTACAAGTCACAGGTAACCTTACGTTCTGTTATCAATGGGCTTAATACACGTTAAAGAGCAGCAAAATCATTTGTAAATAGCAAAAACAAAAAAATACTTTTCTTGAAGCAGTGAATTTAAAAAAAAAACAAGAACATTAAGACCAAAACGAAAATCGTTCCCAGTTAATTATTTTGATTATTATCATTAAATCTGATAAAGAGGGCTTACTCCTAATCTAACTGAAAAGACTTACTCCTTAATTAGATGCAAGGCACAGTCTTTGGATTTATTCCAATAAATTATTTCTAAAGGTGGTTCAGCAGATTGGAGTATTACTCATTAGTATACCCCATACAATACTCACTGCGCCAATCACACAAAAAAAGCCTGGGGCTATAGCTTAACAAGCAGAATATTTGGGATACAGCATGTATGCGTTTCTCTTGTTGTTATTGCTTTTGTTTAACCTGAATAAACATATATTATTCTGGCACATGATCATGGTGACTTTATCACTTAACAGGTCTGAATGAACGGATCACACTGCATTTCACACAATTCAGAAAAAGCTTCTGTGAACCTGTTTAAACATGTCTTGGCATAATGTGAGAATTTAACGTCACCAGTATGCCAATTAGTTTAAATAAAACTCAAATGCAACAAAGTCAGTGTGAAACACGTGCTGTATAATCAACACAATCTGGAACAGTGATGTCAAGTTTTGGTCAGTTTTATAGATCCCAAGAAATATGGTGAAAGATTTATGACGTATGCATTTTAGAAGTGTAGATGTTACGATCTCCTTTTGGTCACAATGTTACATAAGATGAACAATGCATTTTAAGGAATTCTTAATTTTTTTATTTTTGTTACATTTCAACAAAATAAAACAAAACTTGATGTGATGTACTAAGGTTGAACTTCAGGTTTAAAATGTTCTCTAGCTGAGATTAAGGGTTTAACAAGAACTGTCTACAAGTTTTAGTTCCCAACTACTGTGACACCATTAAACACCTCATCAACTCTTTACTCTTAATTATTTTCTTTTCCAGCCATTTTGTTGTAAATTTGCTGGTGTGCTTGTGATCATTGTCTTGTTGCATGACGCAATTTCGGCCAAGCTTTAGCTGTCAGACAGATGGTCTTACATTTGACAGTCAGTCCGGTCCAGTCGCGGTTTTAAAGGACCGCGGCACTCAACCGGGCCCCTGTTCAGCAGTAATGTTTCCCCGGTGCTATAATCCTAGCACCGGGGAAACATTCCGCGGCACCCCAGTGTGCACGTCGCGGCGCCCTGGAACCGCTGTGCTAACAGATGATTGTTATTATGT